TTTCCCATAAATTTATGATAAAAACTTTAAACCTTGCTGCCGCAAATTTAATATGATCACATTTCATGCGCCAAAAAATACGGTAGCTGGACTTCTGTGACATCGAAAGCCCAAATATGACGTCTTTCAAAATATATAAAATTAAGAAGATGTGGTGTTATTGCCAATGAGACAACTCTCCACCAGAGACAAATGACATAGAAGTTAACAACTATAGATCATCGTACGGTCGTCAACACTGAGCAAAACCCATACCACATAGTCGGCTATAAAAGACCCCGAAATGACAAATGTAAAACAATTAAAACGAGAAAACTAACGTCCTGATTTATTTACAAAATGATGAACGAGAAACAAATATGATATACAGCAACAAACGCCAACCACCGATTGGCTGACTTGGGACAGGCACATACAGAATGTGGCGGGGTTAAACTAGTTTGAAGGCGCCATCCCTCCCCAATCTTGGACAGTAGTGTAAAAGTACAACATAAGAACGAAAAAAAAAAAGTCTCAACTCATCATATCGATACAAAGCAGAAATACACATAATAAAACACAGACTGGACGTGGCAGGATACTTATACATCCCCATAACAAAAAAGACATCAAGTACAGATCTGAGAGTACTCGCAGTTACGGACAGCTAGTTCAAAGCCAATAACTACCCAAATAAAATCATGCATCTAAGACTAAACTAACAATCAGTACACACCCAACATTCAATGGATTCAGTGTAAAGTTGTCTTTAACAGTCAGAGAAAAACATGACATTGTGCAATACTAAGATACAGGTATCGACATATTGCAGAGCCATGGATGTGCAAATGTATATCAAAATAATATTTAGTTTGATATCAATTTACTGATAGGAAAATCAATATCTATACCAATAAAAACAATATTCAAAGATCTAATTACAGTTTTGAATTGTTAACATTTTAGAATAAGTTTATCTAAAGGATTGATAAGTTTACCTGGATCGTATCTAAATTTCCGGGCTCGGTAAACAACATCTCTGTAAAAATTGGGATGTGTTATCCCGTTTGAAATAAGTTTTCTATGGGTACAAATAAATTTCCAAACCAAATCTGTGTATCTATAGTAGAATTTAGTAAAGGGTTTAAGAAATGGTGGTAACGAAATCCATGACTTAATAATTAACCAGTAAAACATAGATTACGTTCATTGAAATCCAAAACGTCAAAATAGACACGGGCATAGAGAACGAGTTGTGATATGAAACCACCGGAAGATGGTGCCAAAGGTACACCACCGTCCAAAATAGGAAAATTAAAAATAGGAAACGAAAAATTGTCTTTTTTGTCGTAAATTTTAATGTAGTGTTTCCCGTGTAAAACTGCAATACCTTAATCTAAGAAAGGACAGTTATTACTTTTTATATTTGATTTATTTAAAGTAAGTTCCTTTGGGTAAATTTCGGCAGTATATTTTGAAAATTCTTGATTATTTAACGAAAAAGTATCATCAAGATAACGGTAAGTGTTGTTGAATTTATCAATTGAATGCAATTTAGAAGGGTGTTTACTGAGTTTGGCCATAATATGTGATTCATAACAGTACAAGAATAAGTCTGCTAGACTTCATGTTATAATGACGTCACATTGTAACCATTGCAGAAAATTATTACACTGTATAATCTTCGATGTATTATTTGAAAGAGATACACTAATTAACAGGTGCTTGCATGAATTAAACTTATAGACATATACGTCCCTCCTTCAATCGAAAGGTTAACAAATGTGATTAATTTCTCCTTTTAATGATTTCAACAAACCCTTGTCATACTGTGTTTACATATGCACGCCATGTTAGAACCTGTGTTACAGCATTGTTATATTTTTACAAATAATATTGTTATGTTTGGTTTTGTTTTTTGTTTGTTTGTCCTCTTTTATTTTCGGAGGAGTTGGTTGTTAGTGTTTGGTGTAGTCAGTTGTACCTTTCCAATATTTTTCAAAGTTCCTGTTATCATTTTAAAATGTACTTCACAGACAGGGAAAACATTTTTATTTTTGTGATTTAATGTGAGAAGGTGGGAGGTCAGTTCTCAGGTGGAGAACTCAACTGCTATACCTTCACAGTTGTTTTTCAGTCCAAACCTTTTTGTCACGTACCTCTATCTCTTTACAGAATCATGAGAATGGTAAGTAAACATTTTGGGATGTACACCGTCTCCTTTGTTTTTTAATTTCTTCGGAAAATCTAGGATCTGCTTCTGCCATTGATGAAAACGTCGTAAAAGGTAGAATAAATAGAATAGAATTTTTAAGGTTAAAAAGGGGCACCAAAAATAAACATTGAACTCTATTAAGCAAGAACTGTGAGTATCTAAAATAACACTGAGAACCGACAATATTCTCATTTTTAACTACACGGCAATACTTAACAAATTGCAGTCTATTACACCACTTAAATGAGACAATTATTAAACATTGATTTTGTATTTACGAATACAACTTGAGTATCCATATCTTTTGTCAGAATACACTTGTTTTATATATATTTGACTAAATATTTCGATTAATCAATATTTTTTTATTGTTGTTGACATTTAAAGAGGAGTTGACAATCCGATGTTTGGAGGCCGTGACTAAGGAACAAGTGTGTCAATTGAAATAAACTTGATAAAAATGTTACTTTAAATGACATATGTTTTTTTTTAATACTATCCAAAATTCAATACGAATGTCAGACAATACATTGAGAAGGTAATACTAACAGTTTATCAAACTATGAAATGTAATGTATGTAATAATACATCAAATTAATGATCACTATACAACATATCCAATCAATTCCGGACACCCGACTCATCCGATAAAAAGACGTTCAAACAAAGGCAAACAACAACAAACACCACATGGTGTTAATAGCTGGAGCTGGTTCATGTACACTATAGGCACAAAATGTGGTGGTGTTTAACCAGTTTTACACACGGACCTCCCTAGTTTGCCTATCTAGGCAATATATTGAAAACTAAAACACATTTAAAAAACGCATAGTGCAGGTAACAATAGGACTAGTACTTCTAACTGGAACAACGAAATATAAAAAACTCAACACCATTTGTGAGCGACCAGATAGTATTCAAAAACATTAGACTATTTGAATCAAGACCCATTTTAAACGAATTAGTATATATATTTAACGCCTGTATCCCTTGCTGTTGAAAGTTGTGAGAAATTTCTTCTTAGTATTTTAGTTATACATTGTATTAACAGCATTTCAGTAAAAAGGTTATGTGAGAAATGTAACACTTGTGTTTACGATACTTTATTCATTAAATAAAGTGTTACTTTTCATGTGCAATTTTTGACTTTCCTTGAAGACTAGGCATTCTGAAAATATAAACATTTCATTAATAGAAATTGTTCAAACGACCAACACATTTACTTAAGAACTGAACTGCATGTCATAATTTATTTATATAACACACATATATATTCAATTTGTTGATATTTTCGACGGTACTGTAATCCTTAAAATGTATTCTAAATATTCTAAGAATTGCATCTTTCTCTGTTTAATCTACTTGGTTTTAGATACGTTTTAAATATTCACAACTTCTGTACATATAAGTGTTTACTGTATGTGTTAAAGGCACTATAGTATAATAAATGCATGTTGTGTGCACTGATTGGTATGTACACTTTAATGTCCAAATTTTCTTCTTACATGTATTGGTTAGTTTACATGTAAGTGTTCAATCACAGTCAATATAAAACACTCTGCTGTTCACGTTTGTGTATTTTAAGAGGTGAAATTTTCCAAATAGAGCACACGTCAACATTTTATTTCTTAAAAACAAAATTAAATGTAGTCGTTTTCCATATGCTTGGATAATAGTTTAATACAATTTATCGTGAATCAATTTTTAACTCGAAATAATAAGATACACGTAAAGGTTCTGCTGGAAAGTTTATTGCAATCTCAGTAATATTGACCCCTCGATGTTTTCGGAGTTTTCTGTTGTCGGGTTGCTGTCTCATGAGGCGTATATTGCAAATATAATTTTATTCATATTATCTGTATTTAGGTTAAGTTCAGTTTGCAAGATGTACAAGCAGACATTATATGTTTTAACAGTTATTTTTTCAATCAAACTTGATTCTGATTTCATTTTTTTCTTCTTTTTTGCTGTTTTCGAATATGATATATCAGAATAATAAATTGCCAACACTTCATGTTGAAGGACTAACTGTTACTTCAACGTTTAATCTTTATTCTGAACTTAAAGACAAATGTAAACTTTGTATACAAAAAATGCCAACGTAGATACAAATTATACGTTGAAACCAAATTCCGATTAAAACAAAATTGAAACAGACATCATAAAAAAACTGGGTGTTTTTTTTATCCACCAAATCTTTAATACGTTTGGAGGACGTGCTTTTCAACGGACAATCGGCCTTCGTATGGGAACCAACGTTGCTCCTCTTCTTACCGACTTATAACATTATCAAATGCGACTTTTTATCTATTTCCTTTCTATGAGCAACTAGGGGAGCAGTTACTACTTCCCTCCCGGTGCACTAAGTTCATCTACCGGGTTTCGTTTTGTGGATTATTCAGTATTGTTTTGTCATTTCGTCTTTGAATCGTTTTGGCTAGGGTGATGTCTATTTTTCCTCGACTTATGTTTGATTGCCCCTTGTTTCCTCGCCCTATTTTTTAGGCACTTGTGATAAACCATAAGCTTTTTTTATCATTCAACATTCTGTGACAAGTAGTTCGTAAACAGAGTCAAATCTAGTTTTGTGGATTATTCAGTATTGTTTTGTCATTTCGTCTTTGAATCGTTTTGGCTAGGGTGATGTCTATTTTTCCTCGACTTATGTTTGATTGCCCCTTGTTTCCTCGCCCTATTTTTTAGGCACTTGTGATAAACCATAAGCTTTTTTTATCATTCAACATTCTGTGACAAGTAGTTCGTAAACAGAGTCAAATCTAGCTACGTTTGCGGTACTTACGGTCCAATACTCCAAAAACACCAACACATGGTGTCTCCAGGCCCTTCGCACACTCCTTTATCAAATCCCCAGGATCGACACCACCAATGACATCTTAGTTGTGCATGAGGACAAAACTGGTCGAAATTATAGCGGGCCATATGCTGCTTTTTAGCATGCAATCCTGAAAACATGATAATTAATTTGTTGATATACGCAGTATACAAGGATAAATTCATCCAATAACCAAAGTGTAAAATGACAGTTCTTATTATGATATATTTTCATTAAAATGTTATTCGAAGCTTTAACTGTGGTAAAGAAATATGATTTTCTGGATTTTTAAAATCCAGCAGTAAATCCTATGACTTGGGAATACAGATAGTGCTTTTATTTGAGAGAAGTCTTTTTATTTATTAGTTTTTGATATTGGGTTAAAATGTTTAGCTTAGTAGCCGCACATTTTTATATTCTGAATCAGTATAACTGGCATTTCAGTATGGCAACTATCATCCTTTAGTATAGACCCAAAGTAGCTGCAGATTAATATTTTATCTTTATTGTTTCATTAAATTATACATATCCGGTATACAAATTAGACATTTCATGTCAACAAAGCTGCTTTTTTGATCTGGAGGCGATTGTGTTTCATACAAAAAATTCATAAAGAAATTAAGAACACCAAAAGGACAATAAAACCTCTCAGTTGAAGATAGATAAGACACCGCAACGACTGTAAGAAAAAAGACGAAAAGACCAGCAACTATCAACAAAACACTAAAATAAACATTTATATTGATCAATACGAACTCATTCAATTTGAATTTGAAGTTGCCATGGAAGGGCAAATTGTTTCTGCTGAACTGGCGGTGCCGTCTTGATGCTCTTTTTTGTCTAATATAAAATCGATTTCAGATCAATATAGTAGTTTTGTTGACATTAAATGTCACACTATATACCTGATGTTCATCACGGGCTAGTTAAATTTGCATTGAATGACAATTGTTTGATAGTGTGTTGTTTGTTTACACGTAACAGCCAGAACAAATATTCATGCATGTTCAGGACGAGAACAAATTAACAATAAATGCAATAGGTAGGTTCTTTTAAGTGGGTCGATCTGGATGAATTTTAAAAATTTTGACTGCCATTGGGAAATAAGGATATATTGGATAGGGGCAGAAAGTTTGCATTGCAACATGTCCTGGTTTGATATAAGTTTAAGGGAACTTCATCCTACATTTAATGACCAACTATACTCATTTGAAAATTAGTTCATAACTTCATGTTTCAAAATTGGTAGATAAAAAAACGGAGATGTGGTATGATTGCAAAAAACTGTCCACCAGTGATCAAAAGACGAGGATGTAAACAACGATATATAGGGCACTCTTTTGCATTCAACAATGGGCAAACCCACACATTATAGTAAGTTATATAAGGCTCGGGATAACATAATATGAAACAATTTAAAATCAAAAACCAACGACAAATATATGATGTATACAGCACCCAATGACAACCGTTGAATTACAGGATCCTGAATTAGGACCAGCACGTACAAAATGTTTAGCATGTTAAACGATAAACCCTCTCCTTACTGGAACAGTGTGCTAACAGAATTCTTTAGAACAAATAATGAAAATCAATTGGCAAAGGCTTGATCCATCAGATCGGCACTAAAAACATAAAAAACAAAATCCTAACATGTATTGTTCTTGAATTTTAACTAATTTTCAGATTTGAAATTTACGGAAAGATATATACATGTATGCACTAATTAGTATTAAAATATACACTTTGCACAACTTTTACCTAATTTTGCAGAGATACCCTACTAGTAGCATATAATAACCGTACACACGCATGCAAATTTGATAAAGGTTCAAACTGTATATGTACAGCAAAATATTTGATATATAATCCTTTTACCTGCAACACAGAGTGAAAGTACCAATACAACGACGAAATACTTCATATTCTTGGTTATAATCAGGGATCAGGGATAAATATCTAAAAAATTTAAAAATCATAATTTCAATAATCAAAATTAAGATAACTTAAATCGCTCTAATAGCAGTTTCCAATGTTTAGCTCTCTTTGTTTTTGAACAGTGTATTTAACAGTCAGAACATTTATATAGTAAATAACGAGTCGATTTTAATGTACTAAATTTTGCTTTTGACTGTTAAAATAGGTTGTATGTTGATTTCATGCATAATGTCCCTTGTTGATTTGTGTCTTTGGGTTGTTATCTCATTGACGTACAGTTTGAATCAGTTCTTACCTCTCTTTAAAACTATCAGACTAATAAGTCACAGATCTGTTTGCATCAGTTTTACCCTAGTAATGTCTAAAACTGTTAAATGTAGAACTGTCAGGATCAATCATTAGGTAGAACTTTAATAAACTAGCCTTGACCGTAAATAAACTCATCATAAATACCAGGATTAAACTTGTGCACGACACACGCGCGTATCATCTACAAAAGACTCATCAGTGACGCTCGAATAAAAAGGTTAAACAGGACAAAAAAGTACGAAGTTGAACAGCACTGAGGACCTAAAATTCCAAAAGGTTTTGGTAAATACAGCTAATATAATCTATTCCTGTGGTAGAAAATCTTTAGTTTTTTTGGAAAAATCAAAGTTTTGGTAATTTATTGTTATGAAAGTATCACTAATAATTCAATTAGAACAGTTCGCTGATCGTAATTAAGAACAGGGACTGAATTTACTCTGTAAGTCATGTTTTAGATAAAATTATTAAATAGTAAAACTTATTACAGTCGTGTAATGCTTAGTTCTGTTATTTGTCAACGTTTATAATTACATTTCAAACAAAAAATACTTTCATTTGTATATAATAGTTCTCAGGCAGTTAGGGAATATACATTTTTTATTTCCGTAGTTATTATTACAAATATATAAGTAACATATTGTCTTCAGAAAGACAATTATACAGGTCGAGGAAAAATTTATTACTAGTAAAGTATTTGGAATCCATTCCAAACATCTACAGTATTATAGGTAAAATTTAAAATATTTTGATCACAGTGCCCATATCATATTCTCGGGTAGTATTTTTATACCCGATTATACCCGACATTATATATTATAATAAAATATATTATAATAATTGGCATGCGCTAATATTAACATCAGTTCATAAAGCTAAAAAATTACAAACAAAAATAATAATAACATTTGAAAAAAGGAAAAAATTAACGATATCACCGAATATTTTGCTGAAACTGGAGTTAAACTTAATCCGTAACTGCATCATAAGATGTTTGACGGTAAATGAGGTAAAATAACTTTCTTTAAATTCATAAGATAAAATTGTCTTTATGAATTTTGGTATTTATATTGGTTAATCTAGAAAGGGAACAACACTGCGACTCATTTGACAAAAAGTTCTAAGAGAAAACATACATTTCATGAGCATTTCAGTATAACTTACGATCCATTTTGTAGTGTTAGAAGATTTTTTGGTGAACAAAGCCCCAGGAACGTATCATTTGAAGAAGTTACCGTTTAGTGTAGTGAAGAAATCATCCGTTAGAAAAATCGGGCTAATGTCACGTAAATAGAGAAAAAAATAATTTACGTCCGTAACTGATAACATTGAATAACTAGAAAATTATTCTGATAGGTCCAAATTGTATTTGAATTGTTACGATGATATCATAGCAATGAGAAAATTGTCATTATAATGTGGAAAATATAACCAGTATTATAGAGTTGAGAATGGAAACGGTTAATGTGTAAAAGAGACAACCCGACCAAAGAGCAGAAAACAGCCAAAGGCCACGAATGGGTCTTCAACCAAGCGAGAAAATCCCGCACCCGGGACGGGCTTTAGCTGGTCCCTAAACAATAATGTATACTTGTTCAGCAAAAAAACGATAAATTATAATCTGCTGCAGGCAAATGCAAATGACTTATATGTTAAAGATATTGCCACATATTTTAACACACAGGGAAACGTATACACCTAGCAACTCAAAGGGCGACCTAGGTATAGAAATATGGTTATAAATATTGCAGAACCTATATCTGAATTTATTTGGAACATGCATGAAATATTTGTCACTGAACATTAAGCAACCAATATTCATCACTCACCCTATAAGAGTCAAACCATCTTTTCCGGTATTTAGATTGTATAAAATTGAGGATGTTGAGGCAAATCTATGACGACGGACCTAATATTGTCATTACCTTTCTATAACTATTCAATAATATAGATATACATCTGCATGAACTTCAATTTATACAAGACGAGTATACTGGTCATATTTTGTGCATAGTGTCTTTAACAAGGCAAACTCAAAACTAGATTTCGGCGTAAGTATTTATATGGAAATTTGGGTCAGTGAATTTGATTGTTTTTCAGAAACAACAGTTTATGATAACTCCTAACGTAAAAGTTTTCATGACAATGTTTGTAACTGTAGAGATATTTTTGAAAATTTCTGATAACATTCTCTTATCAATAAACACGTCAACTATTTCCCTGACATTTACCGTTACGGACATAAAAAAAATAAAAATAAAAATAAATAAATAAACATGAAATTCTTGTTTCTTTTATACATTTACTTTAAAAAAATTTACTTCTTATTCTCTCCAATAAATTTTTCCTAGTTTTCCTTTTTATATCTTGGTTTTCCTTAACTGCAGTTTAACCCCAGTGAATTGGGTCTGCAAAGATTTTCATGAATGCGGACTGTTACTTGAAAGTTAAGATCTTATTGTAGTTTAAATATACTTACAGTTGATTTGAAAAATTAATGCTTAAACCTGTAAAATCTTTGAGTTTCCTGCTCAGCAAAGCAATATTTATATACCCCTACTATAGTATTCTCAATCGTTTTGATTGGCCATTGTAAATATTTTGTAAAACGCATTAAAAGTTCGCAATATCAACCGATACATGTATATATAAAAAAAAAAAAAAAAAAATATCATTAAACATGAAATTTTTATTTCTTTAATGCATTTACGTGTATTATGAATTTGAAGAATACTAAGCGATTAAATGCGGTCATTGTTTGATATATTACAGACATGTATTTTCCTGACGGGTAAATTGTAATTATTAAAGTAGTTACCTTTACCCTAACATTTAAGTCAGCAGAACATTTAATATGTGACGAAAGCAAATGTATCCAAATTCTGTATAACCTTTGTATGCCGAATCAAAATAAAGTTTTATTAATATGTATTCTATACTTAATATGCACAAAGACATTGTTGTCGATGCTCATTTTACGTACCCCAATATATATAGTGGATTAGTTTTTTAAGACTAAATAAAACAACGAGAGCATTGAATTGAATACTCTGATGGTGGCAGTGCAGTTTTTCTTCTTGTTCTGAATAAAATACACACTCACATTCAATCTAACCTTATTTATTCGTCTTTGAGATATGTAAAAAAAACATAAAATTTAAAATCTACATATATGAAATAAATGTTTGCTGTATGTTCAGTTGCAAACATTTAAGGTATTTTAGGACGAGAACAAATAAACAATTCAATAAATTCGGGCGATTCTGCAAAGTTCATGGATCCCCTGGATTAAAAGCGAAAAGTTTTAAATGTACCCTCCCTTTTCCGGAAAAAAGTTGATATAACTGAAATATGGATGCTACGAATGAATTTCTTTCATGCTGCAGCATTAACATTTCAATCATTTTGGAACTGAACATGTTGTCTTGCATTTTTGAACCTTTTAAATGTAAAGGGGATGAGAAGTGCATGATATTTAAATTTGATTGAACACACATAACATTACACAGAACAATTTCGATATGCTTTCTAATGTGTTTGTCAAATTGTCATTCTTGTGACTTGAAAAATTTTTAGTAAAAATTTTATTGATATATATATATTTTAAACCACGTAACTTGTCATATTAATATACTGTGATTATCTTACCGCTCTGTAACTTAAAAAAAGTGAAAGATAACTCGTTCAAAAAAGATAATATGAGGGGATGGACAGGGATAAGAGGACATGGGATTTAAGGAGGCGGAAACCGGGGGAAGAGTGGGAGAAAAAATAGGGATATTCTGGGGGGAAAGAATTGACCGATTTTCATCTGGGAGTAAGGAGGAGGGAATTAGGAGTTGGAGGGTATGGAAGAGGGAATCAGGGACCCCTGTCCGCCCCATCTAATAATGGACAGACGACAAAAGCAATCAAAAGGTATTATCTGGTTACCGATATATTTTTCATTGCAAAATTATCATGATTTTGGTATAATATAATAAGTTTAATAAAACTAAAAGACAGCAACCAAACAATACAGAACAACCCCAATAGACATATTTTATTCCTATATTTTTTCGGATTTAGCTAAATTTACAATTTGTGTTGTATAAGTTTCAGGATTTCTAATTTTAAATTGGTAATTCGGGATGATTGAGAGGTAAAACTTTTCTATATTGTTAGAGAATACATGTTGCCCTTTAAATGAATTCGGTTTTTTTTTTGTCGTTGGACTGCAGTCTATTTATATGCGAATACCCCCACATCTTCATTTGTTCATAAATAACTATAAGTTGATATTCCAATTCACTGTTAAATGTACAGTGATTTAGCATTCTTTGTTGAAAATATGGTTTCTATATATATATATAGAATTAGCAATGAGCTGTTATTGCGACGTTCTATTCGTCATCAGTGGGGGATTTAGAAGAGGGGCTATAGTGCTTGTGTCTTATTGTAGAAGCAAACAATTATACTGGAATGGTTGGAAGAGGCAATCATTTTGCCTTGCAAAAGTTTGCCTATTCGAACGAGGTTATAGGAAAGGTTCTTTTACGCGCAAAGAGTGTGACACTTTCCAAACAGTTACACAAGGCATCAAATTTAGAAATCCCATTCAGACCGCAGTGTGTTTATAAATGATTTCATGTGGTGTTTTTTGGCGATCATGTTAGTCTTGGAGCAATGTACATATTTGGAATTTTCTTTTTGGGCTTATAGCTCCTCACGTATTG